AGAGAGGGAGAGAGGGAGGGGGAGAGAGGGAGGGAGGGAGAGAGAGAGAGAGAGAGAGAGAGAGAGAGAGAGAGAGAGAGAGAGAGAGAGAGAGAGAGAGAGAGAGAGAGAGAGAGTGAGAGAAAAAGAGAGAGAGGGAGAGGGAGAGAGAGAGGGAGAGGGAGAGAGAGAGGGAGAGGGGGGGAGAGGAGAGGGAGAGGGGAGAGGGAGAGAGAGAGGGAGAGGGAGAGAGAGAGAGAGAGGGAGAGAGAGGGAGAGAGGGAGAGGGAGAGAGGGAGAGGGAGAGAGGGAGAGGGAGAGGGAGAGAGAGTGGGAGAGGGAGGGAGGGAGGAGAGGAGGGAGGGAGAGAGAGAGAGAGAGAGAGAGAGAGAGAGAGAGAGAGAGAGAGAGAGAGAGAGAGAGAGAGAGAGAGAGAGCAACAACAAAAGAAAGGAAGAAAAAAGAAAAAAAAAGAAAAAAAGTCAGACTGTATCGAGAAAATATCCACTTGAAAACCAGAATGAGACTCTTGCAAATACACGAAAAAAATAACATTGCTTGAAGAAATAAGACAAGCAAGAAAAGAAGAAAAGAAGAAAAGAGAAGGAGAAAAGGCAGAAGAGAAAGAAAGAAAGAAAAAAAAAAAAACAAATAATATTCTCCTTTTTTTTGTTTTGTTATATAGAATAATGAGGTTTTCGAGTGATACACTAATCGATAAAAATATCAATCATATAACTACTGTTATTATGTTCATAAAAGTGTAAACATCATGAAATGCACTTAACGCACCGTAGTGATATTCTGCACCATTTACGAGCGACGTGGCGAGAGAGCAGCGCGAGAGAGAATTGGCTGGCACGAAATTGGCACGTTTGAGGACTGGGTAAAGGGGGGGGGGGGGCGGGGCTGGCTGGCTGGGACGAAAGAAAAAAAAAATGAAAAAAAGAGAAAAATAATAAAAAAAGGGAAAAAAAAGGAAAAACAAGAAAAAAATGAATAAAAATGAAAAAAAAGAAAAAGAAAAAAAGAAAAAAAAAAAGAAGGGGAAAAAAAAACGCTAAATAAGTAAATACTTAGATGTTTATCATAGGATTAATAGATATTAAAAAAAAAGAAAGAAAGAAAAAGAAAATGGCATGAAATTTTGTAGGTGGTTCATCATATAAATAATAATACAAAAGAAAGTATTGGAAAGTAATGTAAACAGAATTTGCCGAGAGCTTTGTCTTACGAATGATATAGAAATATTGCTGAAAATAAACCGCTCTATTTTTTGTATGGAAAAAAAAAATGTCCAAGCTTTGGGAATTCGTGATAGATTTCCCTATCTCTTTACAAGTAAGTTTTATTTATTTATTTATTTTAAGAACCCCATACTTTCTTCTGAAATTTTCACCAAGAATAAGTGTAAGTGATGTATTCTCAAAGTTCAAATGTTCAAAGAGATGAAATGACACATTAAAGAACACTACTTAAACGTAACTTTGTCCTCCTTTTCTCTACAAAAAAAAAGAAAAACCTACTAATCTTGCCTTTTTTCACTTCTGCATAAAAATTTGGTCTTATTTTCATCTGCATAAAAATAAACCTCCTGTTCCTCGAAATAACGCCACGCCAGCACAACCCCCTAAAAAAAGGAAAGATAAAAACAAAAAACAACAGCAAAAAACAAAAAAACTTTGCCAGTCCACCAGAAAAACTTCGTCAGATTTGAACTTTTCGCCCGATTTTGAATTTCCCGCCGGATTTTAATTTTCCCGCCGGATTTTGAATTTCCCGCCCGATTTTGAATTTCCCGCCCGATTTTGAATTTCCCGCCTGATTTTGAACTTCCCACCGGATTTAGATTTTGAAATTCCCGCAAGATTTAGAATTTCCTGCCAGGTTTTGAACTTCCCACCGGATTTAGAATTTCCCGCCGGATTTTGAATTCCCCACTAGATTTAGAATTTCCCGCCGGATATTGAATTTCCCGCCGGATTTTGAATTCCCCACCAGATTTAGAATTTCCCGCCGGATTTTGAACTTCCTGCCAAGTTTTGAATTTCCCGCCAAATTTTGAATTTCCCGCCAAATTTTGAATTTCCCGCCTCCGTCTCGCATTGCTCTCGCCAACGCTTGTGATCCCTGGGTAAAGGCTTCCGTCACAGACCTTTTCTCTCATCTACAAGGGCATCAAAAGCTACCAAAAATGAATCCTACAACATTTAAAAAAAAAAAAGAAAAGAGAAAAAGAAAATGAGACATGAAAAAAAAAAAAAAAAAAAAAAAATGCACGCGATCCATCCTGCTGAGGATTTTAAGTCCTTCGTGTCCTCTTTCGCGACCTGGTGAGGCGAATCCTAGGGCTAGGATCCCCCTCCCCCCCTCCCCTCCTCCTCACCCCACGCCCCACGCGAGGAGGCCGGATCCTGGACCAAGTTTCAGGAGGGAAGGAGCGAAGTAAGGAGGGAGGGAGGGAGGTAAGGAGGGAGGGAGGGAGGGAGGGAAGGAAGTAAGGAGGGAGGGAAGGAGGGAAGCAAGGAGGGAGGGAGGGAGGTAAGGAGGGAGGGAGGGAGGGAGGGAGGGAAGGAAGTAAGGAGGGAGGGAAGGAGGGAAGCAAGGAGGGAGGGAGGGAGGGAAGGAAGTAAGGAGGGAGGGAAGGAGGGAAGGAGGGAAAGAGGGAAGGGAGGGAGGGGAAGGGAAAGGGAGGGAGGACGCCCCCCGCCCGCGCCCATGCGACGTCGCGGGCGGTTTTCGGTCGCTTCTGGAGCTGCTACGACTCAACTCTTCCATGAGGTTCCCTTACATGCGACACGTATGCAGGTTCTGCCAATCTGGAGAATTTCTTCGGTTTCTTTTATGAAATGTAATAATTATAATAATGATAAAAAAAATAAATAAAGAGGATTATACACAAATGATTTAGTGGTATGGATTACTTTTATCGTTTTAGTTTCTTCTTCTTCTAATCGAAGTTCGCAAATTCCCCTGGAGACCGTGCAACTCTTCATTAAGTTCCTTAAGTTCTCCCTTCTCTTCTCTGAGCTTTCCCTCCTCGTGATTGCAGCGGAGATGGGAGTAACTGCTTTTTCCAAACAAGTCTCTCCTTTCAGCACAAAAAACAGAAAAAAGAAAAAAAAAGATTGGGTGCATTTTCTTTTAAGACTGCAAGAAGGATTCCCAAACGAACTGAAGCTCAGAGAAATAAAACTACAGTAGGGCAGTTTCGCTGGCTCGCTCTCACACGGCCGAGGAGGACCCGAAGCACGCAGGCTGTCAGTGAAAGGAAATGGCCACAAAATAAATAGCTGGAAAAGGTTTTAAAATCTGATGATGTATCTCGTCCGACTCGAAACGTCTTTTTTTTCTTCACTAATTTCCTTCTCACTGTAGCCGTCTTTCGTTTCACCTTTTGTAGGCACGTCACTGCCTCTGTATTATCTACTCAACATGCAGCCAGGGTCCTCCTCCGATGTATAGAAAATAAATACCTGTACATACTGGTAATACTAAAATCCTAGTAACTAAAATCTGTGCTAAAAAAAGGTGAATAAAAATATATTGTTAAATCCGGACATCTACTAAGTGGAAGCTACCCCCAAAATCAGTGTAATAATAAATAACCTTACTAAAATCGGAAAGAAATATGAACAGCTGATTGTCAGAAGACCAACACTGAACATGCGATTGTGTCTCCTCTCAGTCCAGGCGTTTTCAGAGCTCTTTCTGGAACACACGATCCACGTTAACCTCCAATGGTTTGTTATCTTAACTTGCAACACTGAATACTTTTCAGTATATCTACATCTAGTTCTTCAACTTATTCTTTCATAGTCAAGATTAATATCATACCTGCATTTGAATAAATGATGGAAGCTGATGACAAAATCTCCCATCATTTACCAAATACAGAGAGGCAGATAATGTAATCCGTCTGACCAGTGTTTTGAATTCAGCATTGATTCATTGCAGGCACTTTGATGTCCTCTGCAACCACAAGTGCAAATTGAATTTTGAGTTTTGCTTACCGTTTTGCTCTGAAGCTCACTTCTAGCCTTTACCATACAACTTAAAATGGAATTAAACAACAGAACAATCATATCAACAATATCCTTTTTGATGTTATATTCCATTACCTTTTTATTCTTTCATTTTCACTCCATGTTTGTAATGGCGATAATTCGAGACAAACAATATGCCTTTTTTTCACTTGAAAATGGAATAAAATCATCATTCAGTTGCAACTCTCCGGTACCTACCACCTTGACACTTCTTTTACAATCCCCATTAGTATGGTACTAAGGAACTTCAGGACAGGTAGCGCCATTTCCTGCTTAACCCAAACATGAAATTAACTCGTGCCCTAAAGTATTCTGGCAGCTGTTTATAGAATGGAACGCCTCGTTATTATAAATGACAGGGAAGTTAAATTTACTTCTGGCAAACATAACAGTATCCATTAAATCATACAAATATTAGTGTAGCTAGCTATAGCTGATAACTCAGGCGCACCTTCATTGGCTGAAAGCGATGACGTCATATATCTATGCCCAATTTCACCCCTATCAATCTCTTGCTAATTTTTTATTTGATTTTTTTTTAGTGATTCAATTTTGACAACGGTGTAAAATAAAAAGAAAAAATATAAAACCATGTCAATATTTGCAAAAACTGACGGTGAAGAGGCGGGGCTTAGTTGAGCAGTTACCAGCGGGGACTTTCATTGCGAGGGAGTAGCGCTCACTGTCTGAGAAGAACCTTGAGTGATACCACGAAGAGATAATGCATGTTTCATGGAAGAGACTGATGGGGGGCGAATTAAATAAATATATACTAAACTAAGGGCGTGGAAGGGGAATGGGAGGAGGTGGAGGAGGGAGAAATGTACATTCTGGAGGATATACAATGGGTAACCTGCATTAAACATCTACCAAGTTACTTTAATTTTCATTCTAACCGTTGGCATTCCTGGTCCCTTCGGCGTCGCCACTTTAACGCTAAAGAATACAGACGGAAATCAAAGAATGACGTTATGATTATTATTATGTTTTTTTTTTTTTTTTTACACTCAAAAAGAAGTGGATCTGATTCCACCTCGGCTACTGCAACATGCTGTACACTTTTGTTTAAACAGTCCTACACACCGAGTGCTATACAGAAGGGTGTATTAGTAGTAACAAAACCAGGCTCTTTGATTTGGCACCTCGTAGATGCATTTTTTTTCACTCTCTGATAACTCTACTTTAGAGTCGACGAAAACGACCTTTAGTGAAGACTATACTTGGATGTGGTGGTGGGTGCGAACCACCAGCAATGATTTCCCAACCAACTACTCCCCTGGGGAGGGATCGCGGGTCGGTCGCCCCAGTACAAAGACCAGTCAACTACTCGAAGTCAACATGGCGCCAAGTAGTTCGTCAAACACCGCATTGGTGATGGCACGAATAGGATGATGATACTTGGAGTAATTCTGGTGTAGTTTTTATACAATTTTCCTTTTTTTTTTTTTTTTTTGGATAAACCGTATAAATACTATAAATCTATGTTTTGGCAAGAAGAGCCAATGTAAATCGATAAGATGGATATGTTAAGACTTTAGGAAGTCACTTATTTACAATTACTATCATAATTTTCTCTCTTTTTTCTTTATATATATTTTTTTCTACAAAAGACTATTTACAAGCTTGTGAATGGAAGCATTATTGGAGTCACGGCTCTTTGCAGTCACCCCAGCCTTGGTCCGCGTCAAGACCCGTTTTCTCTCTCTCTTCTCCCCTTTGGACTCCCTCTTCTTTCTCTCTTTCCTACTTTCTATCTTCTAAGCTTAAAAAAAAAATCCATGACATGTCCAGAGGGAAAATGAAACGATCCTGTTAGTTCCTTATCTAAACTAGCACGAGAGTCGGCATTAGTTTTGAGAAAGAGAGAGAGAGAGTGTAAGAGTCAGCGCCGGGGAAAAGAGCAAGCACCGGCCTCCTGACGCGGACGCAAGCCGACGTCGGAGCGAGGAGAGCGCCCGAGCCTCACCGACCAACCCGACCGACCGACCGACCGACCGACTGCCTGGCTGTGGCGCGGCTGGGCCCTCCCCTCGCCCTCCTCATAAACTGCAGACAATGAGTGGCTGCCTTCGGACCGAATGGAGATGTGGTTCGAGCTGGCTTTTCGAAACGAGAAGACCTGTCGAGCTGAGGAGGCCTGTGGAGGATTTTGGCGTCGCTCCTTGAACAAGGCTGTTTAAGGGTGGGGGGGGGGGGAGGGAGCTTGATGAACACCGTCGCTGTTTTCACCTTCCTCGCCCGCAGTGGGCTTGCATCATTCAAAACAGAATTGCAGGAGATAAACTCTCTCGTTTCATTTCATGTGGCATAACAAAAATAGTCTATCTGACGGTCTAATGGATATGGGAACGAAAGAAGAAGAAGAAGAAGAAGAAAAAGAAAAAATTACAAACAATTTAATTCCACAAGTAGGAAAATACTTTTTACAGGGCATTATGCAACAGTAGCATGCGTCATCCGTTTCAAAAAATAACTTAGAAGTCCTTTGAATCCAAAAAAGGAAATCGAGGTACAAATCACCCAAATTTCACATGAGCAAAAAGCAGCGTCATTCTGGCGAAATCATAGTCCTGCATTATTGCTTTTGTTTCCACGCTCTGAACTGATGGCTCCAGAGGAGTAACTTACGCTTTTATTCATAAACACATTGCAGTTCAATGCAATTCACTTTTGTCTATTCAAAAAAAAAAAGAGAAAAGAAATAAAAAAGGCAAAAAGACGCGAAGTAACGTAACGCGCTCACTCACAGTGCCTGGTAAAGACGTTATCTGTTTGATAATTAATATTTGTTCATTCTTTCTGAATCTCATTTATTTTTCTCTTAAATATGTGGAAGCTCTTACATTGCCATGTACAAGTTCCTACAACTACCATCAATGCAGCATCTCGAGCCAATGCCATATAAACACCCACAATCCCTGAATATTTTTAAAAAGATTACTATCAAAATTCGGTTATATGTACTACTACGTCAGCTTTGCAATCTGCGAAGCTTTCTGTTGTGTTGCAGGTAATGTTGAATCTGCAAGACGTGAAAAAAGCGCTGGTCTTCTAAATATGTTTGACTCGCTTTCTCTCTCCTCAGGTCACATTTCAAGAATTTACTCTTGGGAAAAGTTAGAACCCACACTGAACTTCAATATATATATATTCTTTATTTGAATCAGTAGACAACTTTCCCTTAAAAAATACATTACTATTAATATTATGACGTATGTAAAAACTTCCATGCTATTTTACCCGGCTTTCGTGGACACTACGAGAACAACCCTGGACGCGTTTCAAGTCCTGCTTTTGAAAGGAGTCTTTTGCAGTCGCTCACTAGCACAGCGTCCGCCGCCGTCGCCGTTCCGCGCCGCCGCCGCCGCCGCCGTTCCCCTGAGTTCCCGCCGCCCGCCCGCCATTAGCACCAGTAAGGGTACTCGTCAATGTACTGGCACAGCGAGGGCGGCAGGCGCACGGCGCTGCAGGAGCGGGGCAGCGCCAGGTTGATGGCCAGGCGGCACAGGTGCTTGAGGGACGGCACCGCCCTCTTCAGCGGCTGCCGGATGGTGATGGGGCAGTACACCTTGCCCTGCGCGTCCACCCAGAAGTGTTTCTGAAGCTTTTGGTTGACCCGGATGTAGTGCTCCACCAGCGCGATCACGGTCGAGAAGTCGGGGATGCTAGGCGCCATGTGCGACTCGCAGTCCAGGCGGAACTTGCCAGCCGCGTAGTGGATACGCACGCTGGTGGGGCCGCGCTCCGTCTGCACGCTTAGCGAGTACAGGAAGCGCGTGTCGGCCGAGTCGCGCACGATGAACGTGCCGAGGCTCGTGCTCTGCAGCAGCGTCTCCGCCTGCCGCCACGACAGCCGCTCCCAGTACCAGCCGCTCTCGCCTAGCATGCGCCGCGTCGCGCCCAGCACGCGCTCGTCGTCCCACGCCGTCCAGTCGCAGCCCACGCCGTTCGCGTGCACCGCCGCCGCTGCCGCCGCCGCCGCCGCCTTGGCGCCCTCGTCGACGATGCCTCCGCCGGACGTGTGCATGCGCGCGGCCATGGCAGCGCCCGGCAGGGAACCGCCACTATCTGGCCACTGCCACGGCGAGCGACAGGGGTTCAGGCAAGGCGTGTGTATGCTGGCGTGGCACGCGACGTGGCAGGCGCTGTGGCAGGCGGGCAGGCCGGGCATGGGCAACGCCGTGGGGAAGTGGAACATGTGGCCGCTGACGTGCGGCGTGGCGAGCGCCTGCGGCTGCGGGGGGGCGCTGACGCTGAGCGAGGGCGGCACGCCCCCCCCGGAGGGCCCCAGGCGCGTGCCGAGCGCGGCCGCCGACGCGACGGAGGCTCCCGACGGCGCCGACGGCGGGAACGTGGCCGACGGGACAGCAAGGTTGAGGCCACAGCAGGAGTGAGCCGCCAGGACATGGTGGCAGTTGGGACAGGTCAGCATCGTGGCAGCAC